TACCAGCAACCTCCATCTAAGGATATTATCTTCTTTTCTCAGGATAAATACATGAAAAATGGAAAACATGGTAATTAAAGAATCAAACAATTACAAATCCAATTCTGAAGATCCTCCCTAAAATCTTGAAGTTTTTTTAATCTCAAGGAGAATTTGAAGACTTTCTCAAATTTCATATGTAAACCGAATATCCTTGAGGCATATACAATCTAAAAACTACTCCGTATGAAATATTACCCAAAAGTTTGAAAAGAGAAACAAAAATAAAAGTATGAAAAAAGGAACGGTTTTCTTCTTCAAAATTACCTTGCAAGCAGGAAGGCAAATCACTCTTCTGGTAACCCAGCATCTAGAGGCATGGATGGAGTCGGAATAAAACGGGATTGTTACAGCCTTGTCTTCAATCAGAATACAGGCATGTTTGGAAAGATCCCTTCTTTTTTAGTTCTAATATTCACTTCCATTTTTTTTTTAAATATGATCATTAATACCCTCAGTACTCATTAATAGTCTCTTATTCCATTTTGATATGTTTCTTTTTATTTGTCTTCCTTTCTATTTAAGAAAAGTTTTTAATAAAATACTCTTATTTTTATTATTTTTCCTCACTTACTTTTTACAAACTGTTTTCTCCTTCTTACTTTATCATCATTTTACTGTACTTAATACATTCTATTTTCTACTTTATCATCACTTTACTCTTTTTAATATACTCTCTTTTCCTACTTTACCATTTACCCTACACACTCTATACTTACTCTACTACTTTATTATTAAAACTCGTGTTCAAGGTTACAGGGACTATTAATAAAGAACGGAGGAAGTACTATCTATTTCATTTCTTTTAATAAAAAATAAAAAATTCATATTGTGTGTGTGAGTGTGAGTGTGAGTGTGAGTGTGTGTGTGTGTGTGTGTGAGAGAGAGAGAGAGAGAGAGTGGGTGTGTGTGTGTGTGTGTGTGTGAGTGTGTGTGTGAGTGTGTGTGCGCGCGCTAGTGCGTGCGTGCGTGTGTGTGCCGATGATTTTTATTTATAAAAAGTAGCAAAGATAGGTATAAACCTAAATAAACAACAAAGGCAATAATAACAACACCATGCAACAATAGAAAACACGATGCACCAATAGACAATAAGTTACAACAAAAGGCAACATGATGCAACAAATAATGACAACCACAGTACAACAAAAAGAAACAAAAAAAAAACATATTAATTTTTCCTTTTATGCTTTTTAAAAATGTCACAGTAGTTGTATAATACAATATATTAACTCGATTTAATACATTTATCTACTATGTACTCCCTCCGTCCCGCTATGATTGTCCCATTTTACCATTTCGGTCCGTCCCACTAAGATTGTCCCATACCATATTTGGTAAAGTTTGTGTGGTTCTAAATCATTCCTACTTTATTCTTACTTTATCAATTCAATATCAACCACATAAATCCACTTTTATTAATAATCGTGCCACCTTCTCTTGTCCCAAACTTAGGGGGACAGAGGTAGTATTAGATTATTTGGCTTTGATGCTTCACACTCATTCTTCCTTTTATGCTTTTTAACACACAATCCATCAGGTTTGTATCTTTATCTTCATTTCCTTGTTGATCTTCTTAGCCTTACTATCACTTCAATGTACTTTTATTGTGCACCTGCAATTAGAATGGAATCAATTACACAAAATGGTCCCTGTTAATCAGCCAGTACCAAGTAAGTTTCCAACCTAGATCATCAATCAAAGGCCAGGCCCTGGCAGACTTCCTACTCGGATGTACTGCCCGGGACTTGGCTGAAGAAAAGAGACATGAAGAAGAAGATTGGTGGACCCTCATGACCGATGGATCATCATCAGGGTCCAAAGGTTGTGGAGGAGGGGTGGTCCTCATCACCCCTGAAGGCTTCAAGACGTACCATGCCCTCAGATACAAATTTTAACTTTCTAAAAATGAAGCTGAGTACGAGGCCCTACTGTCAGGCCTCAAGATAGCAATCCACTTCAAGGCACAGAAGTTGAGGGTCAAAAGCGACTCTAAGTTGGTTATCAAACAACTTAGAGAGGAATACGAGGCCAAAGAAGAACGAATGCAGAAATACGGGGATGCAGCTCTGGAACTCATCAAGTGTTTTGAGGAGTCAGATCTGATATGTGTTCTTCGAGCCCAGAATAGCGAGGCCGATATTCTATCAAAGCTGACTGAGGGCGCACCTGAACATCTCATGCGCATAGCCCGAATACAGGAGCTAGACAAACCTAGCATCGAGGTCACCAAAGACCTTGAGGTTTTCTCAGCCGAACAGAAACAAAGGTCCTGGGTCGAAGAATTGATAGAATACAAGAAGGACGGAACATTGCCTTCCAATGAGGGAAAGGCAAAGCTAATTAGAAGATGGGCTCCGAATTATGTCATTGAGAATGGCAAACTATACAAAAGGAGTTACAATGGTGTGCCACTCAAATGTCTAAGGCCAGAACAAGCTCAACAAGTGATCAAAGAACTACATGAAGGAACTTGTTCATCCCACCAAGGTGCGTTCACCTTAAGTAGGAAAGCCCTATTGCAAGGATATTTTTGACCTACGATGATAAGGGACTGCGTGGACTTTGCGCGAAGATGTGAGGTCTGCCAGAAATTTCAAACGAACCCAGGCAGGCCTGCCACCCCATATCATCCTATCAGCACAGCGATCCCCTTCTCAAGGTGGGGAATAGACCTCGTTGGGCCCTTTCCCCCGGGCTCAGGAGGTAGGAAATTTGTGGTAGTCGCAATTGACTATTTCACGAAATGGATTGAGGCCAAACCAATGGCCACAATCAATGTGGAGCAATGCAAGAGATTTGTCTGGAGAAATATATTTTGCCAATTTGGTGTTCCCATGCAAGTTATCACAGATAATGGAAAACAGTTTGACTCCGAGCCATTCAAGGATTTCTGCGCACAATGGGGAGTTGAGGCCAGCAGAGCATCTGTTGCTTACCCCCAATGCAATGGACAAGTAGAAAACGCTAATAGAACTATTGTTAGCGGCCTCAAAAGGAAGTTGGAGTCAATGGGAACAACTTGGGTGAATGAACTCAACAATGTACTTTGGGCATACCGAACTACCCCAAGGAAGGCTACTGGTGAGACTCCCTTCGCCTTAACTTATGGGTTTGAAGCCCGAGCACCACTGGAGGCTCTAGTCCCAAGTAGAAGGGTTGAAGATTATGATCCTAGAAATAACGAGGACATGCTCAGGGCAGAACTACACCTGATTGAGAAAAGAAGGGACAACGCGTTCATCAGAGCTGAAAACTACATAAGGCAAGTTAAAGAATACCACGACGCAAGGGTTAGACCAAGGCTATTTCAGGTCGGGGACCTAGTTCTAAGAAGGAGGTCTGCTAGCAAACCTTTGGAGAGCGGAAAGTTTGCCAAAAATTGGGAAGGGCCCTACAAAATCAAAGGAATCATAGGACCTGAGACTTACAAGCTAAGCACTCCTAAAGGGAAGCTGATAGAGAGAGTGTGGAATTCCGAGCACTTGATGAAATTCTACCAGTAGGTTTGTAATCCTGATTTGAAGAATTATTCAATAAAAGTTTGTTTTCTCTCACAAAGTCCTTGTAAAATTGCGAAGGTTTTTTAACCACAAAAAAAAACTAAGGCTACTACGCCTAATTTTGGTACTCGCAAAAGTCAAAGTACAAATTCCAGACTCATCCAAATTCCGCAGCTCAACTTTGTCTTGTAAAAAGACGAGAGCAGGAATACAAGATCTTTTTCAAGATCAAACAGCCTTATAAACAAAATCAAATTTCCTCAAAACATGAAAAGATGGCCTTTCTCAAGGCCAAGACTGATTTACAAAGGCTAAGGATGAACTAAGGGAATTAACTTTGCACCGGAGAGGCCACCAGGCCTCGCCAATTAAAGAGGTTCATTACAAGGCTTAATTGACCTAGAGTATTACAAGGCTTAATTGACCTAGAGTAAAGAACTCACCCTACTTCGGTTCAGAAAATAAGAACTTAGGGTTAAAATTGGTAAAGCTCTCCGATGCGGTTCAGAAATTGAGAACCCAAGGAAAGCGACCATGACCGGGAAATCAGGGTTAAAACTATGAGGACAAAGTGATAGGAAACAGACTTATTTATTTGGCAACCGAAGTCAGACCTTGAGGTCAAAGCAGGGCTCCCAAGTCGTGTGGATACAGGAATAAAGTATGAATTCCCAGACAATCAAACAAGGTGGAGTCCAGCCTCAAAACTCAGGGCTGAGTGATTCCAATCAAGCTTAAAGAAGGTCACACTTTTTATGATTTTATTATGAATTAAAGCATTTCATTATGACAGCATTTCATTAAGGTGGGGTCTCGATAGCTCGGGGGGCCCAATGATCTCACATCTATTTTTTTTGCAGATGACAGCCTTCTTTTCTTTCGGGCATCCCATGATGAGACATCTTTAATTAAGGAAGTATTGGCTGACTACGAAAGAGCTTCAGGCCAGGTAATTAATTTTAACAAGTCAAAGGTATTTTTTAGTACCAATGTCGGGTTGGACTACCGGGAGGGTCTGATTGATCTTTTGGGAGTTGAGCTGGCAGGAGAGGATGAGAAATATTTAGGTTTACCGGCTTTGGTGGGGCGGAACAGGAAAAATATTCTTAGCTATCTCAGGCAGCGGGTGGTTAGCCGAATTAATAGCTGGAATAATAAATTTTTATCTAAAGCGGGTAGGGAGATTCTCTTGAAATCCGTTATTCAGGCCATGCCTCCTTACTCGATGAATGTTTTTTTACTACCTGTGGAGCTTTGTCGTGAGAGAGATTGAAAATATAATAAATGGGTACTGGTGGAAAGGTAAGACAGGTAAGGGGATTCACTGGAAGGAATGGGCTTCTTTATGTGTCCCTAAAAAGGCGGGAGGTTTGGGTTTTAGAAAACTCCGAGATTTTAATATTGCTATGTTATCTAAGCAGGCTTGGAGAATTTTCACAAATCCCGATTCTTTGGTGATGTTAGGACTTTTTCTGGTGTCCAATCCTGATAAATATCTTTGTATTTGTGTAGCTATTTTGTCTAGATATTTCAGCTATTATTAGACTAGCTTTCTTAGGAAGTGTGTAAAGTGTATTATTGGGCCCAATCATTAAAAGAGCCCAATCATGCTTAGGTCACATCACACATTCCCTAGGCATATAAATATTGCCTTTAAGGGAATGTGCAAAAAGACTTTTCAGATATTCACGCATACATCTAGTCTAGTAAGAGAGAGAGCCGATACTTCCCTTCTCGATACCCAACTCTGTATTTCTCGATCATTTTGGTATTGAATGGGTTAATCTGTTTCTTCTCTACTCTATATTTTGGATGATTGTTGGATGAAACAGGGACAAACAATTGGTATCAGAGCCGAGCGTGAAATCGATTGAAGATCGTCTGCTGAAGAAACTGCGAAAAATGCTTTGTTTTATGTTTCTCGATGTCTTCTCATTTTTGCTCTTGTAAATCTGTTTCTGCTATTTCAAGTGTAAAAGTTATACTGCTAGAATCGCCATCTCAAAACGATTCAGCGGCATATCTTCATTTTTCACTTTTGTAAGATTCAGATTTTCGATTTCTCGATAATCTTATATCGAAAAGCAGGTTTCTCGAGGTCAGGAAGTTCATCTCGATTTGAAAACAGTACAGGGTGTTTCTCGCAGCAAAGGACTTTGCAGAAGAAGTTTTGGAATTGCAAAAATCTTTTTTTTCGGTGCAGGATCTCGACATCACGATTTCGACATCTGAGTTCTCGAATCGAGATTCTCGATATTCATTTCTCGATATTTGAGTTCTCGATATACAGGTTTTTGATATAGGTTCTCGAAGCACAGGTTCACGACACACACAGGTTCTCGAAGCTTAAGTTCTCGATAAGCATTCTCGAAGTTCAGGTTCTCGGTAAACAACATCGAAAACCTCTTCTCGAAGTCAGATATCGAAAAGGCATTCTCGACATTCAGGTTCTCGACAACATCGAAAACAGCTTCTCGAAGGCGGATATCGAAAACCCGCGTAAAGTTTAAAAAAAAAAAGGGAAAGGACAGAGGGGCAAAATTGTTCTTTGAGACCCGCTGAATTTTACGGCTATCGTGTCCGCAGGTCGCCCGCGCAGGGGGGGTGCGAATTTTCAATTCTGAACTGAAAGCCGGAATTCTTGTGTGCGCGAGAGCTCCCCTATTCTCCTTCACCTTTTAATACTAAGGGAGGAGTGATTCATATATAAAGGCTCAAAAGTTCTCTAAGAGTTTAGGTGTGGGAAAGTTAAAAAAGTCTACTTTCCACCTTTGCTTGAAAGTGTACACTTTTCCATCTTTCTTTTTCAAGAGCTAATTTGAGTCACTTCAAAGTCCAAAACTCCAACACCAAAGGTGAACCTTACAACCAAAGCTTCCAAGAGTCAACCTTGAGATTAAAAAAAAAAAAAAAAAAAAAAAATCAAAAAAATAAAAAAAAAAAAAAAAAAAAAAATCTCAAGGTTAAGGCTATTTTTCTCAAGGACCAAGTTACACTTCAAGGTCCGGAAATTTTGCAGAAACTTCAATCAACCTCACATCTACGGTCAACATTCAACAATCAACCATGGATGCCTCTAAGCCTTCTTGCTCCTGTACTTGCACAGTTCATTCTTCACAAGAGAAGGACAATATTATTAAGGAGTTAAGAGACAAGTTAAACAACAACCACAAATTCTTAGTTGATAGTCTAGACAAAGTCAGATCCCTGAGCATACAATTAGAGAATGAGAAGGAAATAGTTAAGAAGCGAACTTCAGAAGCAGATAAGCTTACACAAAAAGTAGCTGAACTGGCTAAGAAGGTTTGTGACACAGAATTAGAACGAAATGTTGCAAAAGCTGAAAACGAGTTTCTACATGAGAAACGATGCAAATTGTACACAAAAATCAAAGAGTTGGAGGACTTACTTGCTAAGAGAGGTCAAACAGAACAAACCATTTTCTTAAATCAGCCTAAAGACACCACTTTCTACAATCCCAAGGAAGGCTTAGGTTTCCCAAACCCACGCAACTTAAAGAAAGTCAATTGTATTCAACTGTATGACATTGGATACATGGGCTTGGGTTTGACAAAACTTATGTCTTTCGTGGGAGCGTCAGAAACTGATGCCGAAGAAAAGGAAAAGAGAGAAAATAATCCTAAGGCTGAAATCTCGTTTGACTACACTAAACTGAATGATAGTTATAAGACTAGGGAAATTCCTTTGTCTGATGACTATGTATCACTTTTTCCTCCAGCAAGTGAGTCTGAGTCAGTGTCTGTAGGGGAAGAAAAATCTGTTTCTGAAAAACCTGAAACCGAAAATGTTTATATTCCAAAGATCATCTGTAAAATTGCAGACTTGCACAAATCTTTGGAAACTGAAAGAGAGGTTTTCAAAACAGAAAAGGAACAACTTTTAAATGAGATTTCTCTTCTAAAAAATGCCCCTAGTGCAGACACAACCTCTACCTCCTCTCGTGTTTCAAAAAGTGTTTTCAAAGATAGTTCAAGTTCAAGCTCTCAGTCGTTTAGCTCTGTCACACACCATTCTTCTCGGACTTTTTCTAATAACTCTAAATTTGTGTTTTCTCATTCTAGAGATGAGGTTAGAATGCCTGAGAAACCTAAGCAAAAGGCTAAAGCTTCTAAACCTCATTGTGATGTGAATGATGGCAAATCGAAAAAGAAAAGATTTGAAGCTTCAACCTATACTGTTTGTGATGGTGTTTGTCTGACTTATCCCCTCAAGGTTTATTCAGCTAAACACCTGAAACGGTTATCAAGGGAGAAAATCTTTACTTCTCGGAAATCTGTTCCATCATTCACCAGCGCTGAAAATTCTCATACACCTGCAATAACTCAAAAATGGGTTCCTAAATCAGAATCCCAGTCATATAGCTCTCCAAAAGCTTCAAAAGAGACTGGTTTAGGAACTAAAATAAAGCAAAAATTTCAAAATTTGTTTTGTGCTAAAAGGGATGGACCCACCTTGAAATGGGTACCAAAGGTTTCTTAACCTTTTGCAGGTCCGTCATGTGTGGTAACTGATCAGATTGCTCCACACGCATGGCGGGTTTGAAGACGAGCTGTGAGCAATCAACTGGTGCACATTATGAAGGGGAGTATTGGCATGTATACTACCTCAACGAGCTGAAAATCAAGAAATGCACACCTCAACGCCAACACATGCCAAGAACAAACAACAAGTGCTTATTCTGAGGGGGAATGTTTCTTTTTCACTCCTCCTGGTGCCTAACAACGAAGAAAGCACATTCCAAGGGGGAGTTTTCCACTTTACTCCCTGGGTGATCAACAACACCTTAAACATTCTGAGGGGGAGTTACATTTTTCTCCTCCTGACGCCAATCAAGGATCAATGCAAGACAACCCAAGAAAGTCATAAGCGAATCAGCTAAAGTCCCCCAGGTGTATCTCCAGCAATTTTGGGTAACACTTGTCAAGGACGCTGATGAGGATGATAATGAGATAGATGACGTGCTGACCGCCACTATCAAGGACACCAAGGTCATGATTACCAAAGAGTTGATGCACCAAGTGCTGCACTGGCAAACACACCGGCTTCGACTAGTGCAACATCTACCATTTGATTGTCTTCCATGATGGTTTTCACTACTGGTGTGACGCTTCTCCAAAACAACTCCATCCATCCACTGAAGACTACCAACGGAGAACGTCAGCAAGTATCTCCAAAAGATGACTAAGGATTCAACGCTTGTACCTCTCTTAATACCAGTGTCTCTGTTGCAGTTAGCTGATCCGAATGATCCATCTGTCCGACACTACTGCCAGAAGAATAGCACTATACTCCCTATGGCTCAGATAAACCCCCCTGAGCCTACCCAAGGGAGTCAGCCGAGCGCAAGTGAGGGTCCTGAGAGTTCAACCCAGCCACATAGACCAGTGGCGGTTCGGCCCCATGATGATCAGACTACGTCTGCTGAGGGCCACCCCCGAGTTGCTGAGGAGACTACCTATGACTCGTCTAGCGCAGCCAGACCATAAAACGCTGATGATGAGGACTCCGGGAGCAAGGCTGAAAAGAGCGACAACAAGAAGGGTGGTGAGGACGACAATCATGCGGACAACAACGCAAAGAAAGCCAGGAAAGCTCAGGTACAAAAATGTTGATTCAATATCAAGCTTCCTACGGCTGCAGATGAAGGGGAGTCTTACTTGAGAAAGAATACTTAAGGACAGATTACCAGTGAGACTCGCTCTAAATAACATCATGATGTCCTCTCTTCATCACTCACTCCTACACAAAGAGTGCAAACATCAAGAAGCCTAGCTGAAGAAACCTAGATGTTACAAACCGGGCTAACCCCATAGGCACAGAGACTGATCTTTTCAGTCTCCGGGTAGAAGACGCAGCATCCAGCCCAACTGCGCATACACAAGCCTCCCCTAGCCACTCTGCTACCTCCCAATAGGTAGTAGTTTCAATATCAGGGGATCTCATACCCACCTCTCCGCCCCCTTTCGGAGCAGTCGAGGATATCTATAGTGACCATCAGCCCTAGGTCACTACCCCTCCTTCTACCACTTTGTGTCTAGGTGTCACCCTCCAAAATTTTCCAATTTTTCTAGGACATGTACACTTTTCACACCACCGCACTCTACAGGTCCACTCTACCTGTCAACAACGATTGGAGATACTTCAATGATGATCGGAAGTCCTGCTGCTCAACAGATAACTCAATCATTATATGCAGGCCACACACCGGTTATCTTTACCAATGTTGTGACAACGGTTACTACCCCTGTAACCGGAAACCCTGACCCTACCGACCTTTCTGTCATTCTGCAGCGCTTCTTGGATTCCACCATTAAGCCATGGGTGCACGAAGCAATAACCGCTTAGGCACAGGAATTCAGGACCACCCCGACGCTTCTTAATGACATCATCCAAACTCTAACTCAACCCTCATCCTCCCACTCCCAATAGCAACTCACTCCAATCCTTACCCTATCCCATTTGACCATTTACCATGCCGTTCGATGACCTAGCATCCATTATGCCAGCGAGAATTCTGGAAATCAAAGAAGCTCCACTCATTGACAAACAAAGAGCTCTTATTGTGGTACTTGAAACCTAAAGCACATGCAATGACAGTCTCCGCGGTCACAAACGTTCACATGAGGACCCTGATTATTCGGCTCCTCATGAGGGGGAGACTAAGAGGCAACGGATACTCGAGCATGGTGCTTCATCTAGCCAATAACCCCAACCTGAACCCTCAAACAACCAAGCTAAATGCAAGAATTCTCTCGAGGATGCAGATTTTGAGGGGGAGTTTTCAATGTTCTCCTCCCAAGCGCCAATTATCATCAAAGGCATCCTACTGAGTGCTACAGTTGAGGGGGAGTACAAAGAGAAAAGAGCAAAGAGAAATGAGAGACAAGTCCCAATGGCTTAGTAAACCCAACTAAGCCTACCCAAGGGGCAAAGCCGAGAGTGCGTGGGTAACTGAGTGAACACTATGAGAGTGAGGAAGCAGAAGGCTCTTGTGAGCGAGAAAACAATAATCAATGACATGTCTGCTACCTCAATTGCGCTTTCAATTGAGAGAATTACTCCCAGTCACTCAAATAATCCGGACAATTCCCCATAGGTTCAGGACTGAATTTATTCAGATCCCGGGTAGAAGTCGCTGCATTTTGTCCAAACGGCGCATGCACAACCCTACCCTAGACCACTCACTTGTCTCCCAACAGACATGTGCTTAATCATATTTCACGGGGAACCTCATCTATTATTATTGTCTCCTTCCGAGGCAAGTGATACTGACTACAGTGGCCTCAGCCCCATGCCACTGAACTTTCATTGATCACGTCGTGTCTAGTTATCTCACTCCCAAATGTTTTGAATTTTTTTTAGGACACAGACACTTTTTAGAGTCAGCTGCAGGTCTTCATGACCCGCGAGAACTTCCATAGGGCTCATCTACTTTAGATGTAGACCAATGATTGGAAGGAAGTCCTGCTATTGCAACATAGAAATCACCAACATGTTCAGGCCATCGCTCTAGAGTTTATCTCTATAGTGATGATAACGGGTGTCTACGCGACCCCGGGGGGCTACCACTTTCTTTGCTGATCTTTATGATTATGCCATAACAACTAGAGTGACATCTACTTCAGATGCTTCACAATGACTGGTTGGAAGTCCTGTTAGAACTTTATTGCTTCTATCATTTTACACAGGCCACACATCGGTGTTTACATTGATGTTGTGATAACGGAACACTATGGTGTCTCCGGTTTTTATCTTATCTTCTTTCCTTTTAGTTTTTGTTATCCAGAATAAAAGAATAAAAGCATGACGTCCCGATTCATCGGATCGTCATGAGGGGGAGAATGGTCCACATGCTGTTTACTATCAACAAATCATTCTTGGACACATCTCTCCTCCAACACAAATCAAAAGACGGATCTCTACTCTCTCAAATCATCAAGACTGCCAAGTCAGCTTCAAATCAAACAGTCAGCTACACTCAGAGTTAACCATATCTTTCCGCTGTGCCACCGACGAGATCTCCTCAACAAAAAACAATCTTTTTCCGCTGTGCCACCTACAAATTGAAGGAGATAGAGGCCGGGTAATCAAATTCTGAAAATGAATCCCATGCGTGCCTGGAAATCATCAGAACATTCATTCCAGAGGCGTCATCGGACTTAATTCAAGCTGATCAAGAGCAACTTCTGGAAGGCAAGGACTACATGCAAGATACTGAAGATTCTTCAACTCCCTGACATCAAAGAACAAATTGCCATGAAGACATCAAAGGGGAGATTGAAAGGATTTCTTCAAAAATCCTTCTTTAGAAGCTGAGTTCAACACAAAGACAAAGGAAGCTGAGCTGCACTGAAGATCAAGACAAAAGAGGATCAACTCAACCAATCTTAACTACGCTCTCCTCTACATTGCTGAATAAACACAAAGACAAAGATATTCGCGCTACAATGCTGATTGAACATGATTGAACACCAAGGGGGAGATTGTTAGGACTTTTTCTGGTGTCCAATCCTGATAAATATCTTTGTATTTGTGTAGCTATTTTGTCTAGATATTTCAGCTATTATTAGACTAGCTTTCTTAGGAAGTGTGTAAAGTGTATTATTGGGCCCAATCATTAAAAGAGCCCAATCATGCTTAGGTCACATCACACATTCCCTAGGCATATAAATATTGCCTTTAAGGGAATGTGCAAAAAGACTTTTCAGATATTCACGCATACATCTAGTCTAGTAAGAGAGAGAGCCGATACTTCCCTTCTCGATACCCAACTCTGTATTTCTCGATCATTTTGGTATTGAATGGGTTAATCTGTTTCTTCTCTACTCTATATTTTGGATGATTGTTGGATGAAACAGGGACAAACAGGTGAGCAGAGTTTTTAAAGCCAAATATTTTCCGAGGGGGGATTTTCTTTCAGTGAGAACAGGAAGTAATCCTTCCTTTATTTGGACGAGTTTACTTCATACCCAGAATATTATTCGGGAAGGATATTATTGGCGAGTAGGGGATGGCCACTCTATCAACATATGGGAAGAGCCGTGGCTCCCAGATAAGGAGAATCCGAGGGTTATCTCGGAGAAAGTTGAAGGCCATCAAGAGGCGGTTGTTTTTAATTTGTTTCAAACTAATGGTAGAGATTGGGACATGGATATCATTGCTGATATTTTTAATGAAAGGGACGCTGCACTTATTCGGGGTATTCCACTGAAAAGGAGTCATATTAGAGACTCTTTGTGCTGGAGATGGGAGGAAAGTGGTCAGTTTACAGTTCGGAGTTGTTATAGAAGATTAATAGGCAATCTGGATGACCAAACGGGCTTTGATTGGACTGCCATGTGGGAGTTAAAATTACCACCTAAAATTAAAATGTTTTTTTGGCAGGTTTGTAGCGGTTGTCTTCCTTCGAGACTTAATTTGCAGGTTCGCATAGTGAATTGTTTGGGGCTATGCGGAATCTATGAAGCAGCAGCCGAGTCCTTGGAGCACTTATTTAGAGGCTGCACTTTGGCCCAGGAGCTGTGGCGAGAACTAGGCTGGCAATGGCATACTGTTGCGGACAGGCCTTTCCTTGAGCAAGTTAATAAGGAGTTCCAAAGGAAAAATAAGGAGAACTTAGAAGAACTGGTCTGGGGCTGCTGGATACTTTGGAGTGAACGCAACCAGAGGGTGTGGCGGGAGAAGTCTTTAGCGGCCAGGCAGCTTATTCATCGGGCTCGCGCAACTGTGGAAGGATGGAAGCAAGCTCAGATTCAGGTAGCTCGGGGAAGAAGACCGCAAATCAGTTCGCAAGGGTGAGCTGCCTGGTGCAGACCTTCCCAAGGCTGTTGGAAATTGAACGGCGATGCAGCGACTCGGGTGAACAGATGCGGGCTGGGCTGTTGTCTCAGGGGGGCCGACGTGTAGCACCGTCCCCAAGCATATTTACTTTTAGTAAATTATGTAATAAACCACGAAGAATGATTATGAATTTACGTGATTGTAAATTTTTATTATTTCTTTTACGTGAATAGTAAATTGCATGTGGGGCCCACGCCGGGAACGGGGGCTGCCCGATAAATTAATGAACCACATATTATATTCATCTTGGTCTAGATAATATGTATATGGTGGTGGATATTTTAGTTGGGCCATGGAAAGGGCACGAGGTTGACCTGTTGGTCAAACGAGGCCCAATTACCGATACTGGTAATTCATCGGATAATAGCCCGAAATGAATTTCGGAGACTACTGAATTAATGTTGGGGAATATACATCTATTCTAAAGGTCCATAATTATTAGGAACGCGTGGTATATTTTATCTGGCCCGATAGAATAAAATATAATTAAAACAGTCCGAGAAATACAACTTTCGGGGCTGATTGTACACACCGGGACTTAATGGGATGACCTCCCACATGAGTGGGGGCCACCCCACGTTTTTAGGTACCCTAGTTGACTTAGTGAGAGCTGGAGGGGGACAAACCAAAGTGATTGTGCGGACAAATGAATGTGAGGATGGTTGAGGAGTGAGGACAAACCACACCTCCCATTGTCCTACTCATGTATTATTTTCTCAACAATTGATTGAGATGATATCCTCTCTCCTTCATTGAGAGCCATTCGAACCATACAAGGCAAGAGGAGCTCTAGGAAGCATCTTTTACAAACTAAAGCTTGAAGGAAGCAAGAGTAGGAGAAATCCAAGGAGAAAGCTAGCAAGGAAGAAGGTAAGGACTCACCTATCTTCTTTAACTAGTTTTATAGTGTATGATTTTCAAGAAATCATATGGTGGATTAGACATGATGTTCTACACGTTTAAAAGTGTAGAATAATGTTATAAAGTGGTGATAATTAACTTAGAAGAGTTGGTGAATCGATAGGAGTCGAAATCGCCGGAAACCGCCACTTTAAGGGAGCTGTTCGTAGCTGCAGACCACGAAAGCCGCCCAGCTTTCACGAAAGCCGCCCGGCTTTTGCCCAGCAGTCCACTTTTGCATCTCCAATCGGTTTAGAACGGGGACTGATCGGAGGGCTTAACAAAGGCAACTATTTCAGCACTTCATAAGGTGAGGATGGCTGACTATGTTGCTTATAATCTTTGGGTTAATTTCGTAGGATTACCTAAAGTAATTAATGTGATTTTCATGGATTATTAATGATTAATAATGCCTAAATTAAAATATTGTTGTCAATGAATAAAGGAGCATAATATACAAATTTAAGGATAAATTGTGTATGATTATGTAATATGAGCATATTGGCTTGATGAAGGGATTAATTATAAATATTGTGTTGAAATATAACTTAAACTTCATATAAGGATATATGAGTGATTAAAGGTTATATTTTGTATATTGATATGAACTATATTTTCAATGGAAAATTAGTTTGGAAATTGTCTATATGACCATGAATTGAAAATGAGTTTTGTTGGAATTTATCCGACTAGTATTATGATACTAGTCGGGGTTTTGGAATGAAATATGTTAGAATTGATCCAAGGTTTGGATTGTAAATTGTTGAGCCTTAAGTAGTCTTAAGAGATACTAAGGTGGATAAGTGATGCTGGGGGTAGGCCTTAAGGGATACCCAAGATAAAGTGAATAATAAATTGATCCTAGAAATAGGATTGGCCTACGGGTGTATTCGGTAGTCTTTAAGGATTAGCCGATAGAGTATTGGTAATTAGTAAGGACCATGGCCCTTCCCGACTCTAGAGAGCGGGGTTGGATAGCATGGACTTACATCGTGATCACGGGTTAGGGTGGAATCCGAACCGGAGACCTTACGAGGCTCCCGACAGCGGTAACACATAAGATAGGACCCCGAATGGACCTTACCTTCCTACGGGACGATGGGTATGAGTTCAGGGGCGGGATGTTGGACTCCGGCCCGAGAGCCCGGTGAGGCCTCGGAGAGCGGTGACAAATCTCGTAAGGATGATAAGACCTACGGGCGGTGTCGTGTAAACGATGATTGAAATGAAATATGAAAAGGGGCCGCGTGCCGACAAATTAATTAATTAACTTATTATGAAGATAATAAGGGTTAAAGAAGAACTATCATTATATTATGATATCACTCTATTTTGAGGGTCTTAGAAGTTGAAACATTGATTATACTTAGTATAGTTGTCATTGTACTTGTCAAATGCTTCCAAGTACTGACCTCCCCTTCACGGGGGAGGCCACCTCACAGTTTCAGGTAGGGAGTAAAGCTTGCTACCATCGCCCGTTGCTTCGGGGAGCTCAGGGAGAGAAGACGTGGTTCGTGCTTCCTCCGTTCTATTTTTAAAAACATTAAATTAATGCTCATAGATATTATTTTGATTAATTATTTGGGGCTTGTACGCCCATGTTGCCGAAGTGTGGCATAAACACTTGTATTAAACGTTTCCGCTGATTTAAATGATTATTTTACATTATGTTTGTTTATGGATGTACTATTGTGAATGATATTCAAGACGCCTAGTATAGTATGGATGAGTTGGACTGCGGTTGACTATTCGTACTGTACGGCGGGTTGTTGACGTGTCCGGTAGGTCCGGGGCGTGACACGACGGCCAGTTTATTGTTGGGGCAGCCAAACCATGGCCGGGCAGGTTGACTCCTTTGGGAGCTGAGATGGCAGGAATTCGCGAGGCTCTAAGTTGGTTGAAAGACTTCGGTGGGACGACAGTCGAGGTTGAATCAGATGCTGCAGGTGCAATTTCGGAGATTCTTCATGGGTCGAGTTGCTCCTTGGTGGGATTACTAAGAGACGACATTAGAGACTTGGCGAATTTTTTTTCGCAAATTTCATTTTGTCATATTAAGCGGTCAGCGAACAAGCCTGCTCATTTGTTAGCAAGGGCAGCCTGTTCTTTGTCTGATTTGCAGTATTGGCTTTACTCTCCTCCTGATTTTATTGTATCGGCTTTAGCCAACGATTTGATTAATGATAATTAAGCCTATTCCTTTTAAAAAAAAGCATTTCATTATGAATTAATACTTTTAGGGGTATTTAGGGTAAAAAATAACAATTTCCGCTTTTCCATCATCCCGGCCGGCTAAGGCCTCTTAGAGCATCTCCAATGCTATAACGTGCACGGTGCACACGTGGCATGAGAGATGACCACATAAATATTAGTACATAAATTCTTTCTCTCCTTATTTAAATGATTTTATATAGTTTTGGTAAGTTTTTCTCCACAATGTCAATGAGACCGTCTGAATGTTGACATTGTTATTGACATTGCATGGAAAAACTTACCAAAATTGTATAAAATCATTTAAATAAGGAGAGAGATAATTATTTGCTAATATTTATGTGGATATGACTCATGCCACATGTGCACCGTGCACATTTAGGGCTGAGCAAAACCCGATCCGACCCGAAAAACCCGATATTTTTTTCGGATATTATCCGAACCGAAGTGGATATCCGACCCGAAAAACCCGAAACCGAAAATCTGATTAGTATTGGGCCTAGACCGGGTGGCGGGTAGGGTTTGTGAAATCCCAACCCGACCCGCCCGAATATCCGAAATATATTTTAGTGTGTACATTGAATATTTAAATTAATACTTGTGTTCAATTATTTGTGTTATTATTTGTGCAATTTGTATTAAATTATTTGTGTAAATTGAATGTGTAGTGAACTAGTGTGTACAATTTTTGTTAAAGTGGCATTCCAAAACTTTAACTATCCAATTATAATGTGTTTTGATATAACCAAAATATCCGAAATATATTAAATTATGTAATGTGTACTTTGAATATGTTAAATTAATACTTGTGTTCAATTATTTGTGTAATTATTTGTGCAATTTGTGTTAAATTATTTTTGAAATTTGGAA